AAGTGATATTTTCTGTGTTTTCAACCGTCTACAATCTGAAAAATAAATAAATCTATATATTAACAAAGAATCTGCTGAAGTGTAATGAAGGACAAACTAAAATAATTTACCCCAAAACGTTACAGCATTATATAAACATTTGATGAGTTTAATTAGTAATGTAATGTTTTTAAACATTTTCTCTATAAATGAAATAATTAAAATAACATTTTTATACTTCTTTGAAGGACTAACGTTTCGGATGTTTCTCAAACTTTGAAAAATTTTTGGAGAAAAACACCCAAATTGGAAACATGTAAGCTTTATTTGACAAACGTGAGTAAAAATAAAATAAATAAATACCTACTGAATAGACTTTTCAAAGGTTCATAATACACAGTACCTTTTGGGGATGAACTTTTCAGTTTGCCCTTTATTACAGTTAGGCAGATCCTCTGATGACTTTTTCAATTATGGAACGTTAAACACAAAATCTCATTATTTTCATATACACCATTAGAAATTCAGTCTATTGTAGGAGAAACAAAGAAGCTAGCACCAGGAAGTGATGAATAGTTCATAAAGTTTGTTATCCTCTTGTGCATATCAATTTGTCAATTACAGCAGGAAAGTATCCTGAGTATTTAAAGGTTTCTAAATGGGATAATTAAAGATCTAGAAACGAAGTAGAGAATAACACAATTTGCTAAATCAGTTGACTACACCTATAACACACACACACACACAATGAGTTTTTCGAGAATAAACAATTAATGTCAGATTGTTAGCTTAGTTTCAAAAATAAAAGGTTAACAGAATCTGCAATATCTGAACTTTGTCAACATATTAATGAATCCCCTAATCAAAGAAAGATTCCAATAGCTCCTTATTTCGATCTGAATCAGGTTTTTGATACAGTTAATTATGAATTACTTATAGACAAACACGCTATCATGGTAGAATTAGACGTGTAGTAAATGACTGGGTAGCATCTTAGATATCCATAGTTCTGATTTGACACTCTGAATTATATCCTATAAACATAACAGGAATGCCGATTTTAGGTCCTTCATTTTCATGAATGACATACTCTTGTTACCCCTCAGTACAATGATAGTACATGTAGATAACACAAATCAACTGATTCTTGAAGATAATTCAAAATTGTCTCTAGAAAAATCAACTGAATATGTGTTGCAATTTCAATAAACACATTGAAAACCCAATACATGCAATTTTTACCAAAAAATATGAGTTATGATTACACAGTCCGCTGATTCTACAACACAGGTTTATCAAACAAGGTTCTGAAAGTAAATTCTTTGGTTTAATCGTAGTTCAGAAGTTAACGTTGGAAGCACATAGNATATAGGGAGATAATAATATGAGTTTTTTGAGTTATACTGTATTTAACTCCACAAACCTCAAAATCTTGTTCAATACTATATTTACCAATATCTACCGGTTCAGCATCCAGGTCTGATCTGGCCCAGATGGCACAGCCTCCACCTCTCAGGACATTTCTACTGTACTGACTCATAAAATTATAACCGTTAATTGATATACTACACACTTCAGTTTCTTTGGCCCATGTTTCTACAAGAGCAATAAAATATATATTTAAACCGTTCAACTCAAGTTCTATCATATTATTTTTTTGAATAATACTTCTAACTTCAAGAAAATATATAAAATTAATATGCTTATCACATTTTCCTGGCGGATCACCAATATTCTTCTTTTTTATAGATGTGGAAGGTTGGTTCAATTGGAGTTCTGTAGTTGATGTTGCAATTGAAAATTTGATGTTTCTTGCTCTTCGTTCCTGAGTCGGTCAAGGTATTTTTCCTCTTTCCTAAAATCAAATCTACACACTGCAACTCCTCTTGGCCAGAAGTTGTTATTGTATGCATCTTCTTTCATATTGAAATTTAATCCAATTTTGAAGCATCTATTATCTTTGGCTTTCCTATGGGCCTTTATTTCTTTTATGTAGATTTGGCTATCACCATTTGTTTTGTTTTTGAGGTAACTGACTATCATTTCCTCGGTGACATGATCCTTTACTCTGGAAATAAATAGCCATATTTTTTTCTCCTGGAGTTCTCTACCAGCAAAACCATTATTTTCATCCTCTTCGCTTATTTGTGCTTGTCCTATTTGCAATCTGCGTTTTTTCATGTGCCTTACAGTTTTAGATTCATGTTCATTGTTGGTTTGTAAGACATTTGTTCCCCCTGTGGGTGTCTCCGTATCATTTTTGTTTATATAGATCAGCTGACTCATTAGAGCGGTTTGTTTACTTTGCAGTTTTTGATAATGGGACCCTGCTTTTTTGTCATCCATAGCTTTGGAACTTTTTGTTGCATTGTTTTTGCTTGTTTCATTTTCACATTCCTTATCTTTTTTTGCCGATCTCTCATTCGAATGTTTTGTCCTAGTTGTTTGATTGTGATTTACGTTGGATTTTGACAAAATATCTTCCATATGCGATATTTTATCTTTCAGTAGTGCAATCACTATTTCTTTTTCGGCAATTATAGTATCTTTATCCTTGATTGTTCGAGAAAGCAGTTGAATTATTTCTTTAAGGTACGATTCTTCTGTTGCACATTGAACACTATCCATCTGGTTTTTTTCTTTGATTATCACCAATGGATCACAGCATGTTTTCCTCTGGGCACAACTGTTGTGGTATGCTGCATCACAGGTTGCACAGTTTACACCTTTCATAACATTTTTTTTGCAATACTTGCAGATTTTCTTCTGAGCTTCTAAATTGTCAGTTTCACTGTCGGCCGTCTTGTCTATTCAATCAAGTAGGTATATAGTATATATAGGTAGGTATATTAGAAAGATCAAGACACTTGTATGATTATCCTGCTTAATTGTTTACTCAAAATTCCTAAAATTAAACAAGAGTGTTCACATGTTCGATGTTTTCAAAGTTGAAGGCCTCCCTGAGTAGCATTCATCTTCAACTTGTTCTGTGCCTTCTAAAAATGATTTGTGTCAACGAAAAACCTGAGCTCAGTATAAAGAATGTTTCCCATAGCTCCGTTCTAACTATTCAAACATCACACCTGCCGATTCTCCAATCCAACTCAAAATTTAATGGCACAACATTGCTCCAAATTTCAATGTTCCATTTTGCGTGACGCATAGCCAAAACACTAATAGTAGTCACAAAAATCATGTAGTTACTGGGGGCATTGAAACTTGCATTGAGCGATGAGAAGGTACTGATACTCATGCTCTAAGAGTTCAATGATAAAGCAAATTTGCTTTTCGTGGAAGAAGATTTTCCAATGATTCTCAGTTTCAATATCTGATCGTTTAAGGTCTGAGTCAACAAGAATTCTCCCAGACCACTGGGATGTATGAATAAAATATATCTACCATGAGATTATTAGAAACCAACTCCACAGGTGAAAATTCAATGTTTTTTTTAATATTTAATAATATCACAAGCACTACAGGAAAATCCTTTAGACGCTCTAAGAGCGGTGCCTGGGCAATGTTAAGAATATTCTTGAATTTAATTACTAAACATATAACAAGTAGTATGATATAAAATGTATGAATTGGCTTAGAATATATTTATGTGTAGAGCTGAGGTTGTAAATCATGCTCATAAAATGAAGTTATCAAATTTGGTGTGACACAAATTGAAAGTTTATGTTTTGTTTCTTTATTTCTTTTTATGAGAACAATACAGAATCTTCATCCATGTAAAAAATTTCTTTTATTAACCAATCAATCTGAATAATTAACCAATCAATCTGAATATTTAGCCACTATAAGGGTCTGTATGACTTAGTGAACTACTAAATCTACCATAAAAATTGATACCGAAAAAATGAAACAACAGAAGACATCTTAAAATATGCAGATAAAGTCCTCCCTAGAGGAATTGAAAAATAAAGCATTTCGTAAAACTACCACCGTTTTTTCAGTCTGCCTTTTGATCTAGCAACAACGCGTTTTGGTCACCAAAATTCTCTAGTTATGGGCAAATTTTGAAAATCAACATGAAATCCTTTGATGAATGGCTATAATGTCACTGATGTAATCGGTAGATTGTGATTACAGTTGAATAAAGAAACTGTTAAAACATGACAGGTGACTTGATAGTGGAAAACTTAAGATTTCAAAATTGAAAAAAAAATTAATGAAATTTGCTCATTGTTTTCAATGATAACAATGATTATATGATGCAAAATACATACAATCTATGAAAGAAGGTTGAGTACTAGATTTACACTTATTGTTTGATACCCACAATATTTATAGTAATTATTACCAATATATTACTTATTACTTTTTTGATACCCTGAATATTTATAATAATTATTACCAGTTTAATTCTATTTTTATTACCTAGTACTTGTATGGTTGTTGAAATTTGGTTCCACAAATTCATCAGATACTTCTGTTGCATCTGGTGAAATCAGTCTTTCCCTATCTAATTGCTCAGCAGCCCTGAAAAAAATGTAACAATTATATTACATACTCAGAAATTCTAGAATCACTATATAAAAATTCTTGAATATCGACATACTTTACAATCAAGACATACAAAATTATAATATGAGCTGATCAATGGAAATATGGTTCCGATGTATCCAATGCGATGCATTGAACCTTGTTTTCATAGCTTTCGTGAATATATTTGTAAAATTATTATGAATAAACAGGAACAGATATTTCGACATATCATTTTTTTTCAGTTTCAATAGTAACAAATGCAGTACATGAATGAAATCTAATGCAGATGCTGTATTGAGCTGCCATAACTGGGTTACGGACTATGTAATAAAAGAAACAGATTTTCTGTACATAAAAGGTAAACAGGGAAAAAATCAAATATCATTAGAAACTCTTTAAACTGTTGAAAGGTAGAACTGGAAACGCTGGCAGAAAATCGATCAAATACAAACATTCTTTTCACACACAAGAACTATACAACTGGAAGAGGTTGTGAGACTGACTGAACTGTGTTTCCCTACGATAATAGTCGTCTGATAGGTTTTTCATTCCTTTTTGTAAGCCTTAAATACATATACAACTAATGAAGAGGTAGTAAGCCAAAAAAAGTTATTTTCCAAACTCTATTCGCTAGGCAACAGACTTTTTCATAGAAGAAATATCTTCGGTAGATCAGTTTCCCTCACTAGAACAAAAATTATGCTTCTCGACACGCGTTTTGCTAACCAAGTTGGCATCATAAGGATATGACTAAAAATAATTTTGGGTAGTCTCTTCGAGAGACAGAATTTTTGCTCTGGTGAGGGAAGACTGTTTTCAATAAATTTAGATTTGTGAAAAGTAAAACAAATAAATTTTCATTCAATACAAAAGGTTACCACCGGACCATAGTTTGAACATATTCTACAAATAATAAAAACCACTTCATCTTCACATTAATTATATTGAATAATGAAACACATTCATTATATCATTATTAAAAACCGCAACCAAACAACTTGTTGAATTCGTGAGTGTATACAACTTATTCAAATTCATAAATAGTATACAGATATAAATACAAATAGACTGTAAATATTATATATATTTGGTGTATTTTGTTTTGAGTACCAGTTTTAAAATCAAGTCCGTACCAATGTAAACTCAGTCCACATCAACACTCTTGTTACATGAAAAGTAGGTTACACTTATCTCAAGAGAGATAAATATTCTGGGTGAATTGAGAAGGTGTAATCAGTGATAAAGTTTATTGAATCATTCAAGAAATAACTTGAATAAATTTGATAGTGGATAACCATCTAATGTTTTTGCAACATGAAGTTTTAATGAAATATTGCCTTTCTATTATTTCATCTCATCGTGGGACGGGAAGAAATGAAGTTAAATTCCTCTATTAACATAACAAATTTTGTAAATTTCTGAAAGATACATTAGTCAAATTCAAAGTAAATCTCACAAAGAAAACTTACTATTTAGTAGTAACTAATGATTTTGACTATCAAAATAAGAGGAAACTAAAAACAACCTGTCTTCAAGATTGTGAAAAAATTAAATTTAACTTGCACTTTTATAAATGTGACATATAATGTTTTTCTTTTGTAATTGAAGTACTGTGTTCTATTTTTGTACTTTTAATATATTAAAAGTTAAATTGAACTTAGTCGAACATTTCTACACATCTAGAACCAGAAATCGTAAATCCAGACCGATATTTCCAACATTATGATCCATTTTTCGTCTTGTTCCATTGGACTCGATGTTTACCGTCTGATTTCAAAATATGTTCCAATCTTGTTCCTGTTAATTGTCTATTTCTGATGTGATCTCGATGTTCAATCTCAAACACTTTTGATGGTCTTGAAGTTTCACCAATATAATTATTACCACAAGAACAAGGTGATCTTATAACTGCATTTTTTTGTTTTTCACTTTGTGTTGTTGGGTTTTGTATGCGAGAGTATAGATCTCAGGGTGCTTTTTGATTTGTAATGAGTTCTAACGTTACATATATTTTTAATTCGTCTTATATATTCTCAGGAAGTTCTGGAATATTAGGTATAACGTTAGTTATGAAAGGTATCGGTGGTTGTTGATTTATTGTTTGTAGTCATTTGGTTTTTAATTGACGGTTTATTTTCTATTGCATTTATTGATGGATCTACAAACTAATCTGGATAAGCGTTCCCCTTCAGAAAATATCTTATTAATGACACTTCTTTATCTGATTTCCTTCACAAATAAATGAATTTTGTTCGATATTAGAAAAAATAGTATATTCAACCATACACACCATCCTCCGAAGTTGTGCTATGAGCTCTTCCTATGTACTTGCCTAATAAAAAATCATGTTTTTCTTCTTCTTACAGCAATTTTTTGAAAAATCCAAGACCAAACCAATTCAGGTTATTACAACAAGATTCGTTAGACGTAGGATCTTGAAAGCTACCTCTTCCAAGTAGAATAAGAAAGTAGATAGAAGTTTTTTATCGACCTTTTTTGGGTATTTTCACCTTCGACAATTCACATTTCAAAACTCCTTTGACATCTGCCGAAGAAGTTGATAAATAAAAAGTAGCAATCAGCAAAGAAATAACTCATACTTCTGTTGCATCTGGTGAAATCAGTCTTTCCCTATCTAATTGCTCAGCAGCCCTGAAAAAAATGTAACAATTATATTACATACTCAGAAATTATATTAACACTTATTCACAAAAAGGATTTGAAGCTTCAATAACTTCTAATTATTATATGCGAACACTTTCGATAGCAGGCTGTGCTATCATTTTCATGGCTCTACTCAACCTGAACGTTTTATCTTCTTGTTTGTTCTTTTATATGGTAGTACATCAGGTAATATCCTTTGTATTGGTTTTTCTCTAGGTTCATTGTTTCTAGGAATGTGTATTGTATTGTGTAGTATATTGAATGCTAGGTCTTGTTGTGTATTGATTTGTATTTGTTCCTCGATAAGTGAATTACGACTTTTGAATTTATGGATGTTTAGGTTTTCCCAGATGTCCATAAGGTTTCCTTTATTGATTTGTTTTATGAGTTTGATGTTTTCTGGTGGGGGAAAGTTATGTTTGTTTTGTATGGCGTGTGTTGCGAGGTTTGATTTATATGTTATTGGGTTTATGTATGCTTTTTTGTGCTCGTCGTACCTTTGGATCAGTTTTTTCTTGGTTTGGACGATGTTAGAATTTGTTGCAGTCCGAGCAGTGTATGCTGTACACTCCGGAGTGCATCATGATTAGTATAAGCTTCTTTTCTCAATCCAAATATAGCACCTTAGCTGTATTCATAAACTTACTTTGAGTCGTTTGTAAAATACTCCATCATCATAGAGACCTAATCCATATTATTAAGAAACCTCAAGTAAACATCATTATCACTAGAAACATTCATACGATAATATTAGAGTTATTTTCCAGTCATAAATTTTGCATATTCAAAACCAAATACATATAAATTTAAAAAATGAAAATTATAAATTTTTGGTTTCGTGTAGTTTTCATCTGTGCAAAATAGGTTTACAGTTACTCCGGGTATTATTGTCAATTAGTTCTTTATTAAGTGTCATACTCTGTTTATGGATGTGGAAAGGCACGTTTTGAAATTTTCATTCAAAATATTTTTTAAATTATTTGCATGGAATATTACTTGAAGTCGTGAATGGAAAGTACTGATTTACAATGCAATTGGGAAACACTAAAATGATCTGATTAATCATGATTTTTTCAAAGTTGAGATTAAGGCCTATGTTTATGCTCTTGAAAATTCTGGAACTTTTACTTTGTGTACTGTTTCCATAGACTAATAAAATACAGTTTACTACATTTATTTTTTTGAGTGCTATCTTGAGTTTTTTATTCGTTCGCGACTCACAGGGGAGTTTGTTGTGAAGTGATAAAAATACCTACTTTATAAGCTAGGAAAATATTTAATGTTCATCAGATCGTCAGATCGAACATCATGACCTTAGTATGCAATCCTCGGAATAATTCATCTCTGCATATGATCCTTCTTCTGTGAGTTTACCGTTTTACTGGATTTTCACCCTTCCACAATCTGAGAAGTTAACAAAGTGAATCAACGTACAATCTGCTAAAGTATCGTAAGGAGCAAATTGAAATGTTACTGTATAATATAAAACAGCAAAGCTTTCAATTAGTCAGTAACTTATCGTATTTACAAATTTAGACTACAAATTAAATAATTATCAAAAAATGAAATTATTATACTTAATTTTCCGTTTCTAAATCCTAAAAAATATTTCTGAAAAATGTCACAAATGGAAATGGGTATATTCCTTTATTCAAAAACCCATTTGAGTCTCTTTTCACAAGTTTCTTTTTGTTTTGCAAACGAAACGTAAACTATCTTAAAGAAACCTAAGTATAATAATTTAATTTTTACATTGACCGTTACATTTTTGGGCAAAATTTATTAATACATTATTTATTTACTAACTAATTGGACTTTTCATTGCTTATATTACGAAGCAACTTTTCAGTTTGCCACTTTTACACTTTAGCAGGTTTTCTGTTGATATAGCTTTCTTCATTTTTCAAATTATGAAAGGTTAAAATACAGAAAACTAGTAAGAAACACTGACTACCCCTCAAGAAATGTCTTTCGAAGATATTAAATGTATTTCATGAATTACTTTTTTTCTTTAATTCTGATAATAACGAAACCATAAATAACGAAAAACTAGTAGACAAAGCAATATCCATATACACTGTGTCCAAGCTAAGGAGGGCCAGCATAAAAAAATCGGGAACCCTATGAGAAAAAAGTCGAAAGTTTTGCTCATTTCAGAGGTTGTTTAAGTGGCATTTTAAAATTGAAATACATCAGTGAAATTGTCGCCAAAAGGTTAAATTTTTTTCTGGTCCATATGAAAACGTAAAATTGGTGATTTCTCTTAAACATAACGTCGAATTAAAAATCTGAAAAACGTCATTTTGTATTGCTTGAAAAGTGGCAGTGATAAAGTGCTTTTCAATATCTCCTTAAATAATGCCAGAAAAAAATTAAAACGATGATGGCAAACTTTGGTTCTTCTTGAAATACCTCCGGAACTAATCGGAATTTTCTAAATTTGAAAACTTCAATTGAATAAGCTCTAAAATGGGCAACTTTTTCCTAATTTTACCGACTTTAGATTACTGAAAAATCAAGTTTAATAAAATTTGTTTGCCATTATTGAACTTTGAAATTTAGATGAAAAACGAAACTCAGTTTCACGAACCTGAAAAAAAAGGTGCAAAAATAAAATGTTGTTTGGTTGAGATCTGTTTAAAATGATATCAACATTTGTAATGGGTAATGTAATGGTTTTAAATAATAACATTAGAAAATTTCCTAAGAGACCCTTTCTTGGATTCATTTTCGCTGAAAAATAAACATTTGTTCATGAAAAAACTATATTTTGGATAGATTACTGTCTTGAAGAATTTTTAGAGCTTTCAACTTCTCTTGAAAGTAAATGTTTGTTTTTTCACCAGGAAAACACACTAGACATTACACAACAGCAATTGCTATGTGATAATAAAAAATCAAAAGTTTCATTTATACTTACCTAATTGTCTGTAGATGTCTTATTCTATTGCCAGGAGTCATGTTCAATCCTTCTTTTCTAGATTTATCCAACTTCCACAATATTCCAGTAGATATTAAGGCACCGGCCAAACTGCAAATGAAAAATATTTCTATTGCTTCATATCCCAAATTGTCCACTATAAGTCCTGTAAAGATTGAGAATAGCGCCAATCCCAAATTCTGAAATGATCCGGCACTAAAATAAAACTTTTCATTAGAAAAGGGACTTGTTGTCAAGACATAACTTACACTCCATAGGCTGTACCTAGCTGATATTCCGGTATGATCATGGACACCAAAGGCCATAAACTGCTTGCTAAAATTGAATAGGACATACCCATGATTACCTAAAAATATGTGCAATAGTAGTTATACAAATCAGATTACACCTTTCTGGTTTTCAGTCGGTAAATATATTCTTAATCATGAAATGCTTCATACATTCTGATTCTGTTGATTACTTGTGTTACTAAGTTATTAAAAATGTTTTCAACTTTACAACACTTAGGACTGACTAACTATATATTTAGGCCATTTTCGAATCAACTTCAAATTAGTGTTATTTTTTGTACTTGTGATGCACTGTTTGGAATCTTCGGTGTAGTAATGAATATTACTGGAGTTTTTTTCCAACACCAAATCGTTATTTCAACACCTCGACACCAAGTTATCATCTTCCAGAGGAAGATTAATCTTCCTCTTGAAGATGATCACTTGGTAATCGAAACACGTGTCGAGGTATTAAAATAACGATTTGGTGTTGGGAAAAAACTCCAGTAATATTCAGTGTTAATTTTATCCGCCTTCTCATTTCATCTATGTTCCATATGTTGAAACTAGTCTCATTGTTGTGGCGGTTATTACCAGTCAATATTCTTTATTTGGCGTTAGATATGTCTTTCGGTTTCAGCTTACATTACATTACATTTACTAATTGGTATATTTATTTTTTCTTTGCATTTCCGACGTCATTTGGGTACTTCATATTTTTCCTAAGCTTCCTTTCAAGTTTTTATAATCTGTTCCTTCTGTCAGATGTTGCCTTCCTACATTTTTTTTTTGGGAAGGATTATCGACCCGTGTCTTTTGGGTCACCTTACTAGCTATTCTCAAAGTGCAGTCATTTACCCTTCATGAGCTGCTGGGTAGTTACTTGCTCAACTTTCCAATTCCACAATATTATTTCTTTAGTGTTTATAAAATGAATACAACTAACAAATAATTAAAGGTATACTTACTATTCCGATATATGGGGTAAGAACTGTAAAGGCTAATAAAGCATGTGCTCCCATGGTGACAGAAATACCTACAAAAATCCAAGTGATGTTCATTCCAATTTTGTCTATTATAAGACCCAGTATTGGAGACGAGACACCCGATATGATGTAAATAATACTACTTAAAGTATTGGCACCTTGTTGGGAGAAATTAAATTTGTCCTTGAAAAATTCCCTAAAACAATATTTCAGGTTATTATTAAGAATAAGGTTTTATATTAAAAGGATCTACAGCTTTTGTTTCCTAAGCTTTGAAATAGTATGAAAATATTTTAGATACAAAACTTGGTATATTCTAATATGAAATTTTGATATAATCGGAAACTGTCTAAAAGTTTTATTTTCCCAGAGAGCAAGTTAGCTTCCTCAGGAGATGCTCCCAACCACCAGAACTACAACACTCTTTTCGATGCGTGTTTCACAAACCAAGTTGGCGTCTTCAAGAGCTGAAAACTACTTCACCAACTAACTTAGTTGGTGAAACGTAAGTTGAAAAGATTGTTGCAGTTTTGGTGCAGAGAAGTGTTAAGAAATGAACTGAAAGTTTTTAAGTTTTGTGACAATTTGTTTTGTGTTATATATATAGTTAACACTGGTTAAGGACAAAACAGCAGGTTAACAGACAAAAGACAAGCAAATCATCATTGAAAAGTATCAGAATTTAGTCATGTTTTCTGAATTTAAGAATTATTGGCGATGAGTCAAATACTCCACAAGTCTGCTATTCTATTAACTAATCCTAACATGAAAAGTGCAGGGAGAATAGAAATGTTGGAATTTAAGTATGTTTTCCGCCAGTTTGGGAAATTTGAAAAATGTCTTTGATTGGATCTATTGAAGCATTTTCGTCAAATAATATAATACTGATATGTTATATCATATTAATTGCAATACCTAGACAAATACTGCAAGTTTTGAAGTTTTATAGTGATAAATTTGTCACGAAGAAAGAGAAATAAAACTTCCTATGCTTTTATACCACTTGCATTTGCAACTATCGATACTGCAGTTTCGTCCTATACAGACATTTTCAAAATTAAAACATCAACAATGTTAACCCTTATATATCTATACAAAACTGTAGATAATAAAAGACGGTCCTTAATTTAACTGAGTACCTGAATCTGTTTACCTGTGACAATGTGAGTATGCTAATGTGAAAACCGGCGAGTTGTAATACCAAAGTGGACAAGATGGAGAAATCAGGAGTTTATAAACTTTAGTGTCCGGAGTGTAATAGTGGTTATGTGAGACAATAACAAAACGGTATGCTGAACATGAAAGATTCTCCAGACTAGGTAAAAATGATTCGACGTTTTCAAACAATTCCTTGGAATGCAATCACAAGTTCCTGAATCGGAAATTTTGCACTATGCAAGCAAGGGTTGAAAACGCAATTATTTGGAATCCTTGGAAATTCATAAGCATAAACATTGCGAATGTAACCCAATAAATGACTCGCCGGTTTTCAGATTAGCGTACCCACGTTGTCACAGGTAATGAAAATTCAGTTACTCAGTTAAGGACCGTGTGTTATTACCTAGTGTTGTGAAGATATGAAAGAGTTAATATTGTTGATTACTTCAGTTTATTAATAATAATGATAACAATAGTAAACAGCTTTTATTGAAAGATTACTGAGTACAAGAAATACCAACCTATCCTAACAAATGGCATAATTCAACATCTGCACATGATAAATCAAGGCAGATATTACTCTTCCATCCAACTAGCATGTATTACTTTGAAAATATTCTTATAGGAAGAACTGCAGTAAGGATGGTTAAAAATACCAAGTAGTATAAAAACATACGAAGTTTTATTCCTCATTCTTAAGTTTTATTCCTCATTCTTCGTGATGATCTCCTACCACATAGTAACGGCTACATCCATCAATGTATTGATGTCTGTGGTTCGAAGTCCAAAACAGTAAATCAGAAACCTATGTGTTCGAAGCGATGACTCTGGTTTCAAAGTCTTCCATATAACGGTTTGCAAGGACTGGAGAGAGTTGGGAGCCCATGGAGATGCCTTTCACTTGTGTGCGAAATTTACCATATAAAAGGAAATAGATGATTGACAGGCAGTGGCTGATGAGGTTGAGAGTTTCTTTGGGAATTTGGTGTTTTATTTTGAGGACGGATAAGGTTTCGGATAGTAGGATATTTGTGAAAATAGATACTATGTCAAAGTTTACAAGGATGTTTGTTGGCTACTGAGAGATTTCAGAAAATGATTGGAATTTTGGACATATTCATAATATTCCATTATATATTATTAAATATTGTGAAAGCAACTTTCAAAAGACATTATTTTCTTTTGGTATGGGAAAAGTGTTTTGAATGTATATATTTCATGCCAAACTTTCCAATTCTACCAAACAAGCCTCATATACTAGATAATTTATTTTTAGGTAGTCTCCACGTTTCAAAAAAAAAAAGATCAGATAGAAGTCATCATCAAATTGTTGAAAAAACAAAAGTGTCATCAAATATTTTTCGAAATATTCCTTACACTTCTCCTAACCAAAATCTTCCCATTCCTGAACGAGACAAAGTTCTGAATTAACTTCTTATCTTCAATGGTATCTAGTTTCGGAATTATTTTTATTTTTCTTTGTTCTTCTTCATCTATAATTTTTTTTTTCACTTGTTCATATTGATCAGCTATGATAGATATTAATTGATTTTTATAACTCCACTACCGTTTTCAGCATACTTTCCATTACACTGTCATTATTATTATTTATCATTGCAACCAGAACATATTCACATTTTACCATCAGAGCTAAACATTTTAAATGAGATCATTGGCCACAAAACTACTTTTACATTCTAAAGCAGACTGGTTGGATTTTAAGTTAGAATTGCAACTTCTGTAGTTATACAAAAATATCAGAGTTGGTAGTGTACCTTTGATCATAAGTAGAAACCAAATTTTTTTTCAATTTATGAATTCACTGAAAAAAAAATACTTTCTATAATATCTCAGGTAGTTTTTGCTAAAAACTACCTACATATTCATATGACTATCATCATTCGGATTATACATCTATTTTTTTTACAGATTTCATGTTGCTGTTTCATTAGAATACAAATAATCATTCGAATTATCATCTGACTATTGATTATGCCCATCACTAAATGAGACGGACCTTCTCCAAATACTCACTTAGCGATTGTGATGAAAGGAAAAATTGCGCAATAAAACAAGACACAAATGACGCAAACTAGCCAGAAACTTGCTTTAAAATCTTTGACATCTGTTATCTTTACAACTTCTCCTGACACAGTTTCGTTCCTCCTTGTAACTTTTTCTACTCTTTTGTCAAATATTCCCATAATAATAGAGCAAAACCAGGAGAATAAACACGTTGTACAAGCTGGAAAAAATAAACACTTGTTAGAGTTGTTCTTCCTGAACAGAATGAAATATTTTTGAAATGTTATCTTTGGTAGCTGATTTCAGAATGTTAAAAGGATAATGCCTTCGAAATTGATCATGGAAAACTCATCAGTATTTCTGATCAAATTAGACAATATAGAAAAGAATAAGTTCCCATGGCAAGTAAGCAATGTAATGTTCACCAAAATGATTATTTCACATAGTAAAAAATTAATAACAGAATTAGTTATTGAGAGTTTTACATACTAAATATCTCTCATCTATATTTTTTCAATAATGGTAATTATTTTTTCAGTGAAATAAACGTTTTTATGTAAGGTGTTTATTCGTATTTACATTACAATAACATTATATGTAACAACCACAGTTTCATTTTTGTTTTTCTTTTCTTTTTTTTTATTTGTTCCCTTTTCAGGGTTACGTGGAAGAACATTTTCCGTGATATATTTCATTACGGACGATGAACTTCGCCCTTTATTTCAATTGTAAGTTAAATATATAAGGTATGTTGTTTTTTGTTTTGGTTATGAAATAGTAAAAGCGATATTATTATTATTATTATATTAAAATCATGTGGTACTAATTATTGTTGACGTGCTACGGCACTGGAATTGAAAGTAGTCCTGGTGTGGCTTGAAAATAAAGCAACTAACCAGATACGTTTCTGTTAATCGTTTATAGTTGTCACAAAGGTGATTTTTTTTCAAGTATTTGTGTTGTCAGTCATTAGTTTCATTATGAATAATAATTTCGTGAAAACCAGAAGTGAAAATCTACTTGTAAAATACAGATTATCAGAATGTTGATATGAGAATAGTGAAAAAAATGAGGTAAATGATACTTTTTATTCCATTCTTCTTTATATACACTCACAGACAAAAATATTACAAATTTTAATTCAAGCCTTGATTTCATGTTTATTTCTATTTTTCTGGATCTTTATGCAGTTTTCATTACTAAATGGTATACGCTGAAGTATATATATTTATAGCTCACTTTTAGAATATACTAGTTTTGGTAATAATATTTATTCAGTATAAGCAATAATGACGACAAAATGAAAGTTCTTTAAGGCAACATAATAACAGTTCAGTAATTAGTGTTCCCTAGCTCTAACAATAGCCTGTATCCTCCTGGGCATGCTCCGCAAGGTCTTTGATGGTTTTTTGTGGATTTCGATTAAATTCTTCCTGTGCAGCAATTCTTAATTCTGCAATTGAGTTAGGAGCTGGATTTAGTGTTCGTATGTCTTTTTAGGATGTCCCAAATATGTTCTTTGGGATTTGCGTCAGGCCTGTTTTTTGGCCACTCCACTGCCTCAAGTCCAACAACTTCAAAATACTGGGTGACTGTTCATGCAACATGTGCACGGGATTTATCATGCATTAGCACGAAATTGTTGTAACCAATGAAGCCGCTGTAAGGTAAAACATGCTCTTCAAGGATGTTGCGTATGTACCAGTCAGCATTCATTATCAAATTCACCTCTATAAGCTCGGTTCGACTGTCCCAACTAATGCCACCCCACAACATAATGGAAACACCACCAAAGCTAACGTTATGTACAAGATTACATTCTGCGGAACGTTCTCCAGATCTTCAGTATACTCGATGACGTTCTTCTGGTTTCCATAACTGTATTCTTGTTTCATCTGTGAAAATAATTTTTCCCACTGATGTTCATTCCAGTTGTAATGGGAGAAGCTTAGCAAATCTGGGAGAGCGTTTTGGATTTAAACTAACTTCTTTGAGTCTTCTTATTATTGTTTTGACACTTATGTTAACTTGTCTTGTGCTCTGAGATGAGAAGCTGTCATCGTGCGATTCTTGGCGTTGTACATCTCTTACGTCATTGACCAGGCCGCCTTTTGTACTTCCCAGTCTCATTGTATCACTTCACAATATGAGAAACAGTCGATTGATGGATATGCAATCTTCCCGCAATATCTTCTTGTCTGCATCCCTCATTGACTAAAGTAACAATTTAAACACAAACTAATTCGCTCAAATGCGGCATCTCACTAAGAAAACTATAGAAATAAGACATACTCGAAATGTCATTTTGACAACAATAAACAAAACAATAGACATTAATAGTGGCAAAGGCATACTATTCATTGTACTATTATTTTACTTATTCAGCTATAGCGACTATGTCCAAGCATTCTTTTATCTATACTGAATGGAAATTTACGCAAAATACTTTGGCCTTTGAACATTTATCAATAATAGTATATTATGCAACGATCATGTAATGATGGTTATTAATACAGGATTCTTGATTGAAAAATTATGGGTTTCTATTGGTTGATAATCTGTATCGTTATGAAAAATGTGTATCATAATGGATATCATTATGAAACGGATTATGGTCATATAAGTGTATTGTTAGAGTATGGGTGTAGAAAAAAATATATAACGTGTTAAGGGAAAATAAATTAACATGAAAAAAAAATCTTGAGATAAAATGTGCAATATTTTTGTCCGAGAGTGTATAAGTAACACTGAATGCACTATAACTTCACAAATATTTTATACAAATAATAAATGTATATTGAAAAGCAATTTAAATGTGTACTTCAGACATAATTATTTTGATTATACATAATTTGAAATATAGGAAAAACCCCTTTAATCTGAAAAGAATAAATATTTTACTATTGAGCTACTTTTCTGATATAAACAAAATGGAGGTCAAATTAAAGGCGACCAGTGAAGTCGATCTTGAGAAAATCAGCATCACATAACTCTTCAACAATGAAAAAAAATGTGAAGACCTGCTGAGTAGATAGTTCACAGCTCATAATTGGTTGCAATGCACACCTACCTAGAGAAACACTGACACCAATGAAAGAGGTGAGCATTGGCTACAGCGGCATATTTGGATAAGAATTCAACAATATAAGTGGATGGGAACAGATGGCATTTATACAGTAATGCTGCAAAAAGGATTGAAACTTTTCCATAAACTGTGTTTATTTCTCAAAGCAAGTTGGGCTCTCGGATACATACCCAAAACATGAAAATTGATTAGGGCTAGCTTAATTCCAAATCCTATGACAAGCGAATAGGATATGGTGAAAGTCTTGCCTCAAACTGATGAAATTTGCATTGAAAACATTAAAAAATTACTTAACATTCATAATAGGATTATATCACTGGCAACTGCACTGAAAGCAGTAAGATTTCATTGCAGGTATGCCAACAGAAAAGGTTTTATGTCAGGCCACAGAAAAGCAGAATATAATTACAGAAATAAAAAAAGTTGACCGCAAACTCATCCAGGCATTAAGAAACGAAGGATTGACCACCCAAATAGAAGGTGGAATAAACTGTATGCTTAGAGGAATATTGATATAAGTGAGGATATTATAGGGGAAATAGCAGTGGCACAGGTCACAAGGTGCGGTCCTAGGAGAGGATCTAGTTTCAACTGTTCTGGATTCTTGTCAGGATTGGCTACACTAACAGATGCTGAAACCATTCTTCCATAGTTAATATAATTTTTTTATTCTTTTTTCATTCAGCCTGAAAATGTTCTCAATATATATGAAAATTCGTACTCACAGATGAATAGGACGATTCCAAGAACTTGCTGTCCATTACTATTTTTGTCAAGCACATAGTTATAAAGGGATTCCATAACCAAAAAGTTGACTGTGCTACCAACCCTTGCGAAACTAAGTTGCAGTCCGAAGACCATGTTGAGTTCCTTACCTCTGAACCAGAGTACTGCATAATTATTTTGGGCAACTGTCAGGGATTCACCGCCTATGCTAGAAAGTAATTTATTCTCTGATATAAACATTAAATATTTTTGGAGTCTCCTACCAGTGTCACCCAGTAAGATGACTCAAAAAATTTCTGCTTCAGACAATATTGACTATTTCAATGAAAGCAGAACAGTCTGAAGTGTATCTATAATTTTGGTTTTCTAAGAGCTGCACAGCCAAAATATTCTCTTTGATTCAATCAATGCTCCTGATAAAACTTCTAATACAATGCATCCCTGAAGTTAGGCTTAATTCATTATTAGCTAAACAAACAATGTTATTAAATGATCCTGAAACATGCAATTTTCAACTTTAAAATTACATTTTTTGATCATAATTTGCGGGTGGTAAAAATATACCCCTTTCAACTCCATATGAGTGACAGAAAACGGGGGTGCATGTGAAATCCCACTTGAAAGAGTTTTCAATTTTCTGTCNTTATTTCGATCTAATATGAAGACCAGGTCAAATTGATAAGGAAAGTACATGTTTGATACAATGCAAGTGGGAAAAATTAAAAAAATAACCTTAATAACAAAAATTAAATCGATTATTTTTAGCTCATTCAATTTATAAAATAATGTTTTTTCTTGATGTATCTCTAATGTTCTTGAATGAAGATAATAACACAAATCTTACCTGTCAATTAAAAAACCTCCCACAACATTAAGAACCACATTAGGCCAGGAATATACTGAATATAATGCAGTATATTGAGTCTCGGTGAGATTGAGATCTTTTTTAAGGTAATCTTGCAATGCGGCTGGATTGTCATAACAAAAATAGGAACCTATTAACAGAAAAATCAGAATAATAAACATTGTTAATCATTGTTGAATCTATATGCATTTTAATGAAAAAGTAAGTGATGACAAATTGTTGAATTACTCAATGATGAGATATTACCAAAGTTTAAATAAAGCATTTATCAAAATAACTCTCATATTTCAAGTAAAAATGATCGTTTAGAACTTTTTTTCATATTGTTAAGCAAACAACCACTGGAACAACAAAATGCGGCTATCTAGCGTGCTATTCTGCTGTGTACCAAGCAGCAGACAAATCTCTGAGTTACAATGTGAATTCTTTAGCCAATGTTAGTTATCCTGTTGAAGCAACAAACAGTTCGAAGAATGATCATGACCTTTCGTATAAATAAAAAGACGTCGCGGAAAGAAATTAGATTAGTACAACTTGTAGTCAGTAATAATTGGACAAAGTTGTTTATTTGTTATGAGTACTATTTTTTTCAGTAACACCAGTCTTATATGCCAAGTTAATATTTTGTTCATTTTTTAGTTTTTTTATTTCATCTGACGTTTTTTCAGTATATATGAGTGTTTTGATGGTGCCAGTATTATATTTTATGTGAAGGTATATTTGGTTATCAGCTTGTTCGAAAAGTTTTTTATGAAGGATGTGATGAATTACATTTGGGTTGAAGTTGTTATTGTTGTTGTTTATAGTTGTGTCTGTATAAGCTAGTTTATGGTACATTGAGAAATCGTGTTGGTTGTTAACTTTTGTAATTGTGAGGTCTCGAAAGTTTATTGAATTATTGGTTTCTAGTTCTATTGTGAATTCAATGTTCTCATCAATAGGCTTGATGTATTGAAAATATATGTGTCCCCGTGAAACAGGGTATCACATCGTCAACATTCCTAAATCAGTAAATACATTTTAGGAAAATTGCATGCTGTTGTAAAATTATTTCGAAGTCATCCATGATCATTTCAGCTAGGAAGTGCCTTAGAGGATAACCCATTATGGGGGCTTCTTTGTTGTTATATGGGTTATCATTAAATTCAAAATTACTGGATATTCAACGAGTCATTTTTTGTGGAGCTTCACAAATTCAACAACATCCAACTCAACAATTACCGACTCAACATCCACCGACACCTTTCACAACTAACGTTATACCTTACATTCCAAGACTATCTGAAAAATAAGACGAATTGGAAATAGGTATGATGTTAGAACTACTTTCAAAACAAAAAATACACTGAGGTTTATACTAACACATAACAAACCCAACATAACTGAAGAAAAAAACAAAAAATTGTATTTATGAAATACCTTGTTCTTGTGGTAAAACTTACATTGGTGAAACCTCGAGACCATTGAAAGTGCGTGAGAATGAACATCGATATTACATAAAAAATAGACAATTGACAGGATCAAAATTGTCAGAACACATTTTACAATCAGACGGTGAACATCGAGTGGAATGGAACAAGACAAGAATTATTACCAATGAGCCTCATTCTAAGAGACGTAAGCTAAAAGTATCAGCATATATTCTCATAACTGGAGAGAATTGTATTTCGAATAGCTCCTTAGAAATAGACCGTACTTGGCTACCCATCTTGAAGAAAAATTTGGATAGTTTATTTTTCAGATTGTGGAAGGTAACAAATATCCAAAAAAGATCGATAAAAAACTGAATTAATGGAACTGTATATATTTTGAGAAGCATTTCATCTTTCATCTATAAGTTTGTGAGAATCTTCTGGAGGAATGTTTGGGAATGAATTTGTGACATCGAACAAAACCAATTTATAATTAGGTGGCAGATGAATGTTGGATATGAATAAAGTTGTGAAGTTTGTGAATTGCACATGTATGGATCTGTGTTGAGGTTTGATAAGGGAAGTAGCATGTTGGACTGTGTTTTTTTACTATGGTTTGTACGAACTCGAGTGTTTTGTTTATATAGATGTCATTGTGAATGGCGATAACTGTGATAAAACTGATAAATCTAATAAAACAAATTGCAGTGAATATCATCTTGAACTCGAACGTAATTCATCACATTCTGGATAAAAAAACGTTTCAAACAAGATATTAACCAAGTATACCCTCACATGAAATACTAGCGATACGCCTGGTTCCACACGGGTGAAATGCTGATACTAAATATCCATATAAACGCGTATGATCGCTGCTAATCATGAAGTGCTATAGGGAAAAGCGCGACCTTTGACGTGCTATTTATAGATACGCGCCGCCGGGCGGTAAGCCGCAACCGCTATGTCCCTGCATTTTAAATCTGTAATTTCTTCGAAAATATTCATTTAAATTACATATAGATCTATATTATGTACAATGTCTTTAAGGTACTTAATTGGATAGGGATTAATGCTGTATTGCTTAAAATCGCTTCGTAAAAAAGTAAATGATAAAAAATGGTCATTGTGGGTTATCCCTAAGAGATAGACATATACCATCGCGGACTTTTTATATTAAGGTGTACAATACTGTAGTACATTATTTTGATCTATCTCGTAGGGTTCAGCCAGCGTTTGCAATGTAAGCGCAAACAGGTGTTTATTTACAACATCACATTAGAAACCTCTGAAATTATTTGTGTTTCTCTACTATATTTGCATGTTATATAAATATAAAACTTCTTCTTGAATCACTCTATCTATCTAAGCAAACATGGGACAGACAGCGGAAAGCGAATTTGTTTTATATTATGTAATGATAATACTGGACCCTTCAAGATATTCACATATACTGGAAAAACATCAGATAATATGAAAAGACTAATGAATAAACAAAATATTTATATAGAATATAAGACTAATAACTTCTTGGGTAGACATATGAAAAACAATAAATCACACATAGACAAGGATAACAGATCATGTGTCTACAAACTAACATGCGGATCTTGCCCAAGAGTCCGGACTTCAAGAAATTTCAAAACAAGAATCCATAAAAGAAATTTTGAACTGAAGAAGACCTATTCCATCTATACGTGCCTCCTTTTGGAGAACAATTACGATTTCAACCCCACCTACGACACTCCATACAGAAAGTAAAGGACATAAATTGAACCTGCTGGAGTTTCTGGAAATCAATAAGGGCAAACATTCAAATCCCTATTGAACGACCAACAAGAGGTTAACCACTCACCATTATTAAACCTTTTGTCATAATGCCAATAATTTTATTCATATTAAAAATGTACCTACTGTTCACCTCATTGAGAGGATGACAACTATTTTTTGTATTCTTATTCCATTCTCTCATATTGTCATCATCATACATTGTTATTATGATAAAAAAATTACATTTTATCTATTCTTTCCACGTGTTATTTTGATCATCATCCATACTATGATATTCGATTATTCAGTTTACTCATATATTTCATTTTACTCATTCGAAAAAAATTAAATTTGAGTTATTTCGAAATGTTATCATTTTGCTGCAAATTGAAAAAAACTTCTTTCAATTTCGATCTCAATTCTTCTATTGTCTTTAGAAAATGCATAAATTTTTCGCTTCAATTCCCTTCAAACATAAAAATATATTGGATTTAAATCAGAGCTACGGGGTGGCCATTATTGTACCATAAATTGGTTCTTTGAATTGAGGGGACATCCCTTAGTTCACTCATTCCAGCCCAAATATTAATATTGAAAGTGGTGTTCTCGACCGTGAATAATTATATTCACGACGATGTTTTCTAATTATCTAGTTTTAGATGTCAATCAAGTTGCTTATCTCCAGCACATAACTCTTGAACTTTAACGAAATGAAGTGGATAAAGTTACTGTTCTTTTATTATTGTATGTATTATTGTGATGGACAAAACAATACATAGAATAATACTAAGACCAGTTGTAAGGTCACTTTCTTCTGCAGGAACATTCCTAGTGGTTCTTGTTATGTCTCATGTTGATCTCCAGAGATCCATTTTTCCGTTTTGAATAGAACCATATTCAGCATACCTTCTCAAAGAAGCCTTGCTGCAAGCTCAGGAAAGGTATAATTTGCAAAGGTTTTTGTAAATGGAAAGTTATTTATCTGAACCTAAATGAAACCACTGCTAGAACAGTGATCTACGGCAACTGGATGGTTGATTGTTATATATTATATCCGTACAATGAAAATTTCAGCGATCTCGCCACTGGTGTCAAAATAGGGGGAGAAAATGTTATCCAATCCCTCTTTTTAATTCACTGAAAAGACGGAGACAATTTAAATTCTAGCTAAATAAGAAGGGATTGATACATAGAGACATTATACTGAATTATTTTGAAAGAAGCACAAACTTAAATAAATTATGGCCAAAAAAAATTGCTTGCACCAATTTCAAAAGAGCAGAGACTTATAATTGTGAATGCAGGAGGAGAACATGGATTTGTAAAAATTTATAATTAAAATTCAAATCCAACACAAAATCGGGTGACTATCATAGCGAAATGAATTACGACAGTTACAAAAAGTGGTTGCAAGAAATGTTGATTCCCAATCTTCCAGAAAAAAGCGTTTTGCTTATAGACAATGACCCATAACACAATGTTCGGTATGAAAACTCCCCAAACATTTCCTCGAGGAAAGATGAGATGAGAGAATGGTTAAAACGACAGAACATTCATTCCACGGATGATATGCTAAAAATTGATCTCCGTTTCATAATTAAAATACATAAACCACGATTCAAATTGTATGAAATTGTTAGGATTATGGAAAATCATACTGTACTCATATTGCCTCATTATCATCCAGATTTGAATCCAATAGAATTAGTATTGGTATCACTGTAACAATATGTGGCTGATAAAAATGACATAGAAATTTCCTTATTAATTCTAATAACATTTTTCTCATTATGTAACTGTTTGCTGAAAGGAAAGTTAAAAAGGTATAATTTGTTTACTTTCCAGATTCAATTGTTAACATATGAGAATACTCTGGATTTAAATTTCGTTAATAACTTGAATAACTTCAGGTAAATTTCTAAAGAGGTTTCCAATAACATTGATATCAACATTGAACTACTGTTTACTTAAAGGAAACTAAACAATGTGCTTTAGATAGCAACAGAAACCTTTGGGAAATATATTCGAAAATGTTCAATTCAATTCAGTTTATTGTCCCGAGAAATAATAAATGCTTACATAAGAGACTATAACTAACTTCAAAGTATTATATTATATAAGTATTATAAAATAACAGTAACATAATGAGATAATCTACAGTAAACAAATAACATATCTTGAAAAAAAAAACAATGAAATGCAGTCAAATATGAAATTGGTCTCAGAAAGTACATGATAAAAACGAACTCAAATGTAATAAAAATTAATGCAAATTATGAAATTCGACCAATTAGTTTTTTTTTATATTAAAATTTAAATGTTGTGATGAAATAGTGCTTCTTTATTTTCTCTAGAATTGGATTATATATAATGATCCCTTCGCGATATATCGTCTTTTTTCCAAAATCTGTTTGTATTTTGATTTTTGACAGTAATTTGTTTATCTTATGGAATGATCATGAATACGTCCAATTCAAATAAAATTCAAGTTTGATTTCTTTGTATTATTTTTAACAGAATGAATGAAACAGCTGATTTTGAGTTTAAAGAGTGAGTCAAAAAAATAGTTTGGCTTATAAAAGTTCAATGTCGGTTCAAAATATGATAATTTATAAATGCTTCTAATTATTTTGATATTTAAGGTTTTCAGAGGTTTGATTATAGATTTACTTGCTGTTTCCCAAACAGAAATACTGAAATTTTTTAAATCATTTTCAAAGGTATAAAGTTTCTAATTTTGTAAAAAATTCCAATAAGAGGAGATTAATTTTTTCAAATTGTTTATTCCATGACAATTTCTCATCAATGTATAAACCCGAAAATGCTGTTGTTTCTGTATATTTAATAGAATTATGACTAAACATAATCGAATTATTTGAAATATTAATTATTTTCAGGGAAATATTCATTTATGAGCATTTATAGAAATTGAGCTTCACTTTATGTTCCTCAAGGATGGATCCTTAATGTCTGCTAAAAATATACCCTTTCAATTTAAACAACATTTTTTATTTTTATCAATTTCAATTTGAATTTGTCACCTTACATCCATTACCACTGTCTCTGTGCCACTAAATCTGCCTAAACCATTATATAGGTTATTGTTTTCAAGATAATTCCCTTTCTCTGAGTTTTTTGCAAAAACAGAAATTGGTAGATGATTTTAAAGTTTTAATTATTCTTATAATGATTAAATGTTAAAGTTATAGCAATTATTAATTTTCAATTTCATTGTAAACTTTATGACTTCTGTTTCATGATGAGTCTTATTTGATTTGAATATTTTCCATGAAGAGCAACAGAGGAGTTTTGTCGGTTAAATGTTTACGCTATTGTTATTTTCACATTTACATGAAAAAGTTTATAACCACAAATATTTCATCCCTTGAAATGTAATTTTCCTTGGGATTTCAAAAAACTAGTTCCTGTAGGATAGTAGAAAAAGAAAGAAAAGAAGAAGAAAGAAAGAAAGAAAAGAAAGAAAGAAAGAAAGAAAAGAAAGATAGTAGAAAAAAAACCCAAAAGGGTTCCCCTTTTGCAATTCAGAAAAAATATTTGTTTTACAATCTAGAAATTCAATATATTAAAACATGGACATGAGCCAGATTTTATTCTATAACTGCTACAGAACCTTTTACTTTGATGATGTTCAATTTTCAAACACTTTGATAAGGTTTCAAAATGGCATAACAAATGTACTTAACTGGTAATGATAATCCCCAGGAGATACATCTATCATCAAATAAAGTGCCTCATTTTTATCTGGTTATGAAAGATATAAAATTTCATACAGTAACATGATACTTTGGTTTCAAAAAGTTATTACAAAAGTAATCAATTAAATCAAGTTACCACTTAGGTAACAGGGGCAATGTACTGTTCTTAATATTAATAAATAACTGCAAGAAACAAAAAGGTATATATTACTACATCTGAACACTACCTATTTGCATTATTTCTATATTACCTCAAATTCATTTAATATATAATACTTGTATTCATTTTCTATAACTGCCTCTCTGTGTTTTACAGTAAAACAATATATTTGACTCATTGAGATAAAGGCAAAAAAAAAGTTTTTCCAGTAACCAGCTGTGGTCCTCTAAGGTCTAAAGAACAACAAACCTCTGAAGTTGAAAATGTAAAATGCTAAGGTGCAATTTTTCATGAGTAGGACTCACTAACCAATTGGCTACAGACTGAACAAAACGATATAGTGAAAATAGGTATGAAAATACAAAAGTACATGAAAATAAATGAAAAAATAGTTTATTGTCTAATATTTAAAAACATTATCTCAGACTTGTGAGTTTTTCATTGGATTCATTGAACAACTCAAAGGTCAAAGTTTATCCTAGACAAAGAAGTATTACAAAACAAATAGGGAATGTATTCAAAAACATATTTGAATAAGGTAACGTTTTTGGAAAAACTTGGTTTTTCTGAAATTGATATGATTCCAAGTGAATAATGGTTAATTTCGTGAATAATTGTCCAGTTATTAGATTTTTTTTTCGTACTCACCAAAGCTGAGAAAACACATAAAAATCAAGGCTACAAATCTATGTCCTGTGCCCAGAGGATGGCAAAAAAAATTGAAAAACCCCTTGGGTCTTTCATCTTCTCCTGAAATTGTGGTATCAGCATCTTGTATACTTGATCCACCTTCCATAGTTGTTTAATAAATTGTAAGAAATTGAGTTATTAGGATGAAGTGAAAAACCTCAACTCGAAAAAACACTTATCAATCACGTTATTTCGATCTAATTTCTATTGTATTCCAATATTTATTAAACATTACTCATCAAATAACCACCATAACTTTGTAGGTTACTGTGTTGTGCTATGTGTTATCATTTATATCATATGATTTCAAATTTTTGATGCATTCTAATCCAAACCTAACCTCAATCCATCACTATATATATTATATATATCCCACTAGAGCACAGGCACAGATTAGGAAGAGCCAAAGATCATAACCAGGGTCGGCATAGGCTGAATGATGAATAGAATGATAGAAAGTAGAAAGTAGCCCATACAATTCTCCCTAATCAACAAGATCCCCAGTAAATATATATGAAATTTATTATAAGTTGTATAAAGGAGAAGTGAATTTTTATTTTATTGTTGAATTTGTTTATTATTAAGGTTTTATATAGATTTTGGTTGACCCTTTTGTTGAGTTTGAATTCCTATATCTTAACATATAGGAATTTTTCTCAACACCTCAGGTGAATTCTTGCTCAAATAAAATATAACTTACCAGCAAGCAATACAATCTGCAGATGTATCTGTGGATAAATCTTGGAAAGGACACAATCGAAATATAAATACAGAAATTTAATAACCGGTGTAAAATACTTGAAAAATTATAAACACTCGCAAAACATCAATTTGAACTCAAAAATACGTTCTATGCTAAAACAACCGTAAATGAAATACGGAACGCACTGTATTGTGGAAATGTCAAATATTAGTTCTTACACGAATCACCTTTTTCTATCTACGAAGGTAGGAAAATCTTATTCAAATTTATTATGTTTCTTATCAAGTTAGACAGATCTTTTATATGCAGATATTTTAATCAGGGAAAGTTCGAACTTCAAAATTATTTCTCTCGCCTTTAAGTGTGAAGTGATGTACCAATAAAGTTGGAACTGGAATTGGAAAACGCGTCAGGAGTTTTGTGTTCGACTTTCGGCTCCCATTTTGGAGCTATTTTCAAGAATTAGATGTGGCTTGACGCAGGGGCCTCAATCTGCCTACTCCCCAGGACAAGTTCTCAACCTCCCTTCTATATTGTATACTAACAATATTTTGATTGTGTAGTTTGGGTCTTCAATCAAACGGATGGCCGTTTTTTATATATTTGAGCAAATGTATAATGAACTCCACAAAGTATTGACATTGGCAGAGGACTGTAGTTTAGGGTCTTGTTTCGAATTTCCGAGAAGTTGCTTTTGCTTTTTCCAGTGATGTAACTGTGCTAAGATGCTATCAAATTCGATATTTTTATTCAATGATGTGAACAGTGTCTGTCCTCTGGTGGTGGTATGTATGGCTATGGCACATCTACCTTTTTCACCATGTACTGGTGTACAAAATGTACTTTTGATACTTAAATAACGGATAAGTTTCATTCTGTATGAATGGGCTCACATTTATCACTTATAGTTAACTTTTCGCAATTCAGCATAATTGGATTGGACAATTAATTCGGACAATCACATCGCAGTGCCTTTCATATGCAACCACAAATGTCAATCGAAAATGATGGCATTTTGCAACTCCCCTTAGACAGTAACCCTTGTCTGACCCTAACCAAAGAATACCTTATCCTGACGTTGATCTCGAAGCTAACCATCCATATTTTTTCTTGGTTCTCGTAAATACCGAGCAAACAGCAAATGTAACGCTAGTTGCACACACACCGATTTTGGACGGCCGACTTTGTACCGGTCGTCCAAATTCCAATAGTGAACCACATGTGGGAACGGGACCTGACACACACGCCGACCGATGATCGTCACCGGTAGAATACCGGTGAGCAGCCGTCCACTGCCACTGTATCGCCGTCAGTACCGGGAAGTAGTGGCGTACATGACTAAATATACTCTTGCATACTCACCGGTTTTTTACCGACCATTTCAGTCTCGAATTCTCGGTGAAATTGTGTGTGTGCAACTAGCGTTACGCTAAATGCACACACATTGATTGAGGACGGCCGATTTTATACCGGTCGTCCAAATTCCAATAGTGAACCACATGTGGGAACGGGACCTTGCACATATGTCTACCGGTGATCGTCGCCGGTAAAATACCGGTGAGCAGCCGTCCACTGCCACTGTATCGCCGGCAATACCGGGAAGTAGTGGCGTACATGACTAAATACACTCTTGTATACTCACCGGTTTTTTACCGACCATTCCAGTCTCGAATGCTCGGTGAAATTGTAGTTACTACGCATTAACTTCGTTTTGGTAGTGCGTGCTAATTACGACAACAAAGCAACTGATTGTTTGACCGATGAAAATCCGGTGAGTGTGCAAGCACCCGCTACCAATAAACTATCGGCCGATTTTATACTGGCCGTCCAAAATCGGTGTGTGTGCAACTAGCGTAACGGGGACAACGGATATATATTATTGAATGCTTGCCAAGCAAAGCGAGCTGATCGAGTGCTTAGATATATGTATCAAACGAACACACCTATAATATTTATGCTGCATATGCAGAAGACAAAAATGTACGGAAGCCCGGTCACGACATAGAATGCTCCTGATACACTGGTACAGATATGTGACGTCACTTGTGGAACGTACAGAGATATTACGTCACTTGTGGAACGTACAGAGATATTACGTCACTTGTGCAACGTACAGAGATATTATGTCACATTGGTATGCGTAATTTGAAAGATAAATAATGAATGGCTGGTTTTCTATTACTTTTTTCGATCCATTTATATATGTTAATAGAGTAGTAATTGAATTAGAATCAATGATTGGTAGCAATGCGGTGGTTTCGTAATAATTTATTCAAGAAATATTTCACAGAGGGTTACACTCAGCCTGAAATCGTGCTTTTTTTGTTCTTTTACCATAATTTATGCATTTCTGTTAGGCAGTTACAAAGAATATTGAAAAAAATTGAATCTGAAACGAAAAAATGTTGAAAAATCAGCCATAGAGGATGTGGTTTTTGGGGTGTTAGAAGAAATTGAAGATGGTAGTGGAACCTGCCTAGGATACAACTCGTTATGGAGGAGGTTAATACTGGTATATAGTATCCAAGTGAAAAGGAATACTGTTTTGGAAATACTAAGGATTGCTGATTCGGAAGGTGTTGAGGCAAGGTCACGTAGGAGGCTAAAGCGATGTAAATAAATAGTTCCAAGACCCAGTTTTATATGGCAAATATTATAAATTGAAGCTATTTGGTTATGCAATCCACGGAGCTACAGATGGATTTTTCAGAAAAATATTGTGGCTACGAGTAGCTTCAAGTAATAACAATCCTAGGATAATAGCGTCATATTACTTAGAAACAATTAGACAATTGAAAGTTGTGCCAACATTGCTGAGAACAGAAAATAGCATAGTTGGATGTTTGCAGAACTATTTAAGGTATTATCACAATGATAATTTAGCAGGATTTAGGAGTCATATTGAAGGAAAGAGAATTTCCAACAAACCTGAATGTTTCTGGTCACAAATGCGACGGCAGGGTATGAGTTCTTGGATAAGTTTTTTCAAAGATCTAAAACACAGTATGAATTATGATGATAGTGATCAGCTGATTGTGGAAAGTCTCAGATACTGTTTTGGTTCTATTATTTGGGGTGAACTAGGCCTTTTGGCGGAAGACTGGAACACACATACTATAAGGAAACAAAAAAAAAAACTTGCAGGTGACAAGCCACAAATTATGTATGATATTTTATAGTAACATGATTTATGTTTGATTTTTATGGCTTACCTTAAACGATTAAAAAATCTATACTGTACCTCCAATCTTTCTCATAAATTCAAACCTCTTTCGGATAATGAAAAAAATGCTTATATTGTCATTTGAAAAAATGAGTTTGTGGTTACCTCCAGTCAAGATAAGAGAATTATAGTACTATAGTAACCTAATAATTTGAAACCTGTATTTTCCAAACTATAGAAAAATGGGGGGTGTACCCTATCTCGTTACCCGTTACTCAAATTTAATGTTACTGAACAAGGGGACCAAGTCAAATCTTCTGTCTCTCTTGTTTAGGATAGTAAATAAAAGATTTGTTTTATGAGGCAGGTTCCACTACTATCTTCAATTTCTTCTAACACCCCAAAAACCACATCCTCAATAGGTAATTCTTCAACATTTTTTCGTTTCAGATTCAATTTTTTCAATATTCTTTGTAACTGCCTAACAGAAATGCATAAATTATGGTGAGAGAACAAAAGAAAAAACACGATTTCAGGCTGAGTGTAACCCTCTGTGAAATATTTCTTGATTAAATTGTTAAGAAACTACCGCATTGCTAACCATCATTGATTCAAAATCAATTACTATTCTATCAACATATATGAATGGATAGAAAAAAGTAATAGAAAACCAGTTATTCCTTATATTTCAAATTACGCATACCAATGTGACATAATATCTCTGTACGTTGCACAAGTGACGTAATATTTCTGTACGTTCCACAAGTGACGTCACATATCTGTACCAGTGTATCAGTAGCATTGTATGTCGTGACCGGGCTTCCGTAAAAATGTGATTAGTGATTGAATGTGGTTATTTCATAGACATGATAATATGAACTGGTCACGTCACAGTAGAATGTTAAACACCTATACTGTGAACTGGTCGTGACGTCACTTTCACATATATTTCACCTGTGGATCATATAACATCTTGGTCACTGCGTCACAGCATTATGTGATGAATAAAATCCCAAATTTTTCACAATGGATATATGCAACACGTAAAACGTCGTCTCTTCTTTTTTTAGTTGTTGGAGTCAATGTTCTCTCTTCAATGCCTAGTCCATATTATAACGTCAGTGGGCTATTTAAGGTTATGTATGTTTTTGTTGCAGAAGAATGCTAAAAGCTATGTTGTGTTTTGTTTCTTGAGAATTTGAATTCATGTTATCAAGTGGATGGTAGCCTCCATTTAATATTAAAAATAAAATTAATCAGATTCTTTGACCACAATTAGTTTACTTCAATACACTGACAGGAATTGGATTATATTTTGAAAATAACATTATGATTTTATGAACTCAAGAATTAACACAAAACAAATTTGAATAAATTCAAATCGAAAATGAGTTCTGCCAATAAGGTAATGTATTATCCTTTAATAAAATACCTTTTCTGATATAACTTTTTAAGGTTGGTGAGATTTTTACTGCTGCAGGCCAAGCATTTAACCGATTAGGTGATCTCACAATGCAACTTCATCCTAATGCTGAATCTCCTACGGGGTAAGTTTAGGAATTTATCTATATTTACTGTAAATCCATGTAAAATCTGAAAATTTTCCCAGTAAATGGACTGATGAAGAAATTGAGATGCTACGGCAGGTAGTCAAACAGTTTTCAGATGGTCTAAACCAAATAAGTGATCATATCAAAAGGAGAACAGTGTAAGTTCTTGGTCCCAATTTCTTCAGATGCTCAATTTGCTTAACAGAAACTTTATTAATATCAGATCACAAATTAGAACAGCGCTGAAGAAAAAAGCTTTTGAAGATGCTGGTCTACCTGTTAGACAAGTAAATCAAGTATCGCAACAAGTTCCACCTCAGAATGTGCAACAGCAACCCATGATCAAATCGGAGGTAACACTGAATATGCTTAATGCTGCAGAATCAGAAGTAGACGTTGAAGGCTTGCATGAGGATGTAAAACTCGAATTTGATGGGGGTAATGAAGAAGTTTCGACATGAGTTATTTGAAAAATTGAACATTTTGCTACAGTTATAAGTCGGAAACTAGCAAACAATATAAAGACTCAAGTATCAGGAAAAGTAAATAAGTTCTTTCAGTTTAAGTGTTGTGAGTTTGAAATTGTGTAACTGCAACTAAAATTTAATGACCATTATATTAAGGATTTTACCCCTTCAAGTTATGACATGAAACAAATACAATACAATTAAATCTACATTTATTTCAATAATATTCATCTCAACAAAATGGTTAAGGCTTTCGCGGCGAGGTTTTCAGTGTCACTATTTTCCGGGTTTGAAGGCAGTGAATTTTTTCAGATTCCAAAGATTCACGGCCTTTAAACATGGAAAATAGTGACACTGAATATTCATCTCTTTGCAAAATTGAAGAAAATTGAAAATATATCATTCATTGCATTGATTAAACAATATCAGAAATAGTTTCATTTCTCTTTTCAAGATTGTCAAAATAAATATAGTCATAGTTGTACGCATTTGTTTTGGATTTCATTAAGTTGGTGATAACTTATCAATGTTTTGTGAAATGGCATGTATTTTGTAAAAAAAAATGGTTGGCACAATTTATTAATATATTTTGATTATTTACATGAATATAAATGTTTTACTGTTTGCTCGTAAACTTGGGTATTCCTATAGAGGGGTATCCATTAATGTTAATGAAGAATTGTTGTCAATATGACTGGTGTTTCAAAAAACTGCAAAGAACTTGCATTTTAGTGATTATTTAAATTTTGAGTTAGTTTTTGCTTTTTTCAATTCTACAAAGAGGTAATAGAAGAAATATACTTTTTTGCTATGAGAACAAAATTATTACTAACCAGACAATACTTTATTATCCAATTATTGTCTAATATCTTTGATGAAATGGGCATCCAGATATCCTTCAGTGGACTTGGAATGGAGATCCTTCAATAGATAGCCTATGGCCATCCATAAGTTGCCCAAAAATGTATGATATTTTATGATTGTCTAGGCTTGTACACTTCAGATGTCCATGATATCCTTTGGACATAAATTGGACATCTCCTGGATATCGACTGGATGCCCGTATGGTGTTTGGGATAGATTGCTGAGTGATTGTTACCGTCATATCTTGAATTGGCTACCGAATTTGAATTCCCCTTATATTGTTGGTGTTTTGTTTTTTCTTGATAGTTTTGAAAATGTTAGTTACAATAAACCTTTTAAATTCAAATTAGTCCGTTTCATAACAATATTTTGTTGAGAAACTTGAATATTTTGACTCATATGAAACACCCGTTGGTATTACTGGCATATTTGATAATTAATGTGATTATCCAGAAAGTAAACAACAACACCACAATGTTGGTGCTAATGAATTGGAAGATGTCTGATTGATGCACTTACGGCGTGCCATTCATGCATCTTTACTTGTGAACAAATGGTAATATGGTCGGTATTCTGGTCAGAGGGTTGGTTAATAAGCCTCAATTTTCAAATAACTGTTTCTGTTGTAGCCAGAATTGATAATTTCAATTATTGTCATGCTCCTTCGAAAGTACAACCTTTTTTCTTAATATACATAATTCATATAATACTTTAATGCAAGAACTTGGGTTGTGTTGATTGTATTTGATAAAAACAATATATTTTCAAGAGAACACACTTATTAATACAACACCATAATTTTCTGATTGATTCGGGCCATTACTTGATGAAGATTCATTGTAATTTCATAAACTACACCTTACGGTTTGATTTTCACAAATTTTATTTTCAAAAATATATAACATATGTCATGACATGTTTCACTATCACAGTAGCTTTTTCATAGTCAATGACATATTGAAAGTTAATTCTATTATACACTCTAATTTTTTATACCCCAGGTAATCATAAGAGAGTTAGGTTCTCATGTACTTCTTTGATCATAATTACCTAAAGTATCTACTCATCTTTTATATACCTAAATACATCCTCAAAATATGATTACCTAGAGCATATTAGGCTTGTTCTGGTTCTCTGTACGGCCTGTTCCTAACAGTCAGAAAACAGTCACCCAACTGAATACTGAACATTTTGTTGCGTTAACCTATTCAGTCCATAATTGACTCACTGATTTCAGACGATTCGAAACAGTACTAACTGAGAACCAGAACGAGCCTATTATATCACTCTATATCAATAATACAATGTTGGTTTTTAAGATAACAAGTTCAGTAATGGTGATCTATTCAAATCCAATTGGACTTTCACAAAATTTTTGAATTTTCAAGTTTATTAACTCCCATTGCTTCCATGAAGATATGATTTTCTTCTAAGAGATGATTTGAATATTTTGAACTTGTTTTCTCATTAACATAGCTCATATAATGTTCCTGGATTCAAATATAACATTAGAAATGAAAATAGCACTAATAACTTTGAAATTTTGGGAATTGAAACAGAAATGGCATTAGGAGAGACATTGAATAATATTAATAACAAATACCAGGCGTCACATATCATAAAATCAGAATTTTTGAAAGACGCTGTTTTTACAAATGTATCAAATCTTCTGAAATCTATATGTAGTAAAATAAAACGATGTCATACTAACCAGAGCAGATACAGGGCAACACAAGTGAAAGATTTTTTGAAAATTTCATCTTTGATGAACTTCCAAACTCAAAATTGTACTCACTAATAAAATTGCACAGAGTTATCCGATTAGATCAGTAGTTTTCACTGCACCATCAGTGCAATTATTAGAAAGATTAATCAGTATTATTATGAACCATAGTAAATTTCAACCTAAATACATTCTAAGAAATGTATGTGACAAAGACAAAAATTAATATCCTTCAAGGTACAGAATCTATTTTTCAGCATATCTTCTGATGATATTATTACTATATTATAGAATTATTAGATAAAAATCGAGTGAACCCAGTTATGAAGAAAAAATAAATCATTAACTTTCTATCACTATAGAGAAAATTATTTTCAATTCAACATTTATTCCTCTTCAAAAGTCTAATTATGGGAAAACCGTTGACCTCCTTAGTTGCTGCACTTTACATGGATAACCTAGAGAAGTCGATTCTTGAGCATCCTTAAGTTTAAGTACTTCTTGTTTTAGCATAGATATGTGGATGACTTTTGGTATGTTTCACAGGTACTAAGAGACACTCAGATATTTTTGATAGGGATATTAACAAAATTCATGAAAACATATCCTTCCCTATTGAAGTAGAAGCAGACAATTCAAACTCAATCAATTTCTTGGACTTGACAATTAGTAGAATGAACAACAAACATAATTTTTTAATTTATCACAAACCTTTCCATACGAATATTACTATTCATTATGATTCTACTCAACCGTACCAACACAAAATAGCATCTTATAATAGCGTGATCCATAGATTAGTCAATATTCCTCTTCAATAGATAATTTTAATAGAGAACTCAGTATCATTAAGCAAATTGCAGTAAATAACAGATTTAAAGCTGAATGAATAGACAAAATACTCTCCAAAAAGGAACTCTTGCAAAAGGAATTGGAAAGGTTTTTCCTACTGATAAGTAAGATAATCAAAATTATAAAGCTTGAACATATTTTGGACAAACGAAAGAAAAAGTGGCTTGCTTTTTGAATAAACAAAATATTAAAATTGCATATAATACACTTAATACGTTGGGAAAGTCATTCAAAAGTAATAAACACAAATCATTCAAATTCGAGAAATCCGGGGTATATAAATCAAATTGTATAATCTGTCCTAAGGTATATATTGGTCAAACTGTATATAGATACATAGGTAAATATTTGTATCTGTGAGCATATGTGTTTGTGTATAAATATGTAATTTGGATTATTAGGGTATTATACTCCTTAGAATATTATTAGACTTTCTTATTAATGAGTTAGCATATAGTAACTTGGTAACTATCAGTTTTCCAACATTTATGTTCACCTCTTAAAATAATATTTACATATATACCATGGACAGCCTCCGCTTTGTGGAATTATTGGTTATTGTAGTTTCAAGAAACTACTCTGTTTTTGTACATTGTTTATATTGTCACCAAGAGACTGCTAATAATAAACTTACCTATTTAGGAATCACATCCGGGAACATCATATGAGCTATGTAAATAAAAAAACAAGTTCAACATATTCAAATCATCTTTTAGAAGGAAATCATATCTTTACCGGAGATTTCGAAGTTTTACACATAGAAAATAAAGGTTTTAAGCTGAACTATTTGGAAGCAATGGAAATTAATGAACTTGAAAATTCAAACATTTCACTGAATGACCAATTGGGTTTTAATGGATCACCATTACTGAACTTGTTTTCTTAGAAAGGAACATTATATTATTAATGTAGAAGGATATAATATGCTCTAGGTAATTATATTTTGAGGATGTACTCTAGGTATATAAAAGTTGAGTACATGCTTTAGATAATTATGATAGAAGTATCTGAGAACATAACTCTCACTTATGATTACGCGGGGTATATAAAAATCAGAGTATATAATAAAATTAACTTTCAATGTTATTCATTACGAAAAATCTACTGTGATAGCTAAACATGCGATATATTTTTGAAAATAAAGTTTGTGAAGATCAAATTTTAAGGTGTAGTTTATGAAACTACACGGCCGGAGGTTTTCACGGCCATAGGTTTTCACGGCCGGAGTAATGATTGGAGAGAATACAATCCGGGCTTGTCTGCTGTGAGAAGGAAAGTTATAACTCGAAGTCACAGCAAAGGCTGACTCAATTATATATTTTCTGATATTTTGTTCAGCATATGTTTTGTTTCTAGAAACCATAGTGATGTCTAGTTGACTACTTTGGCAACCAATTGATTCAATTTATATCGAGAAAGTGGTCCTTAACTCAATGTGGATGTAATCAATCAGAATCAGAAATAAAACAAGGTCGTCTCCACAATATATACATGTATATTGACTACAAAACTTGGTTGAACATTCATCAGCAGTAGATATTATCAATTTCAGTGCATATTCATCGTCTGATATGAAATCAAAATCTTGTTCATGTAAATCTAATAAAATTTCGATTGTTCCAGGAGATTGATTCATCTTGCTAAGTATGCTAATCTTTTTAGCTTCCTTTTTGCCAAACAAATTGAAAACATCTATGAAATTTCCAACTTCGTTGGATATCTATTAATTTTTATACCTTTCTCATAGTCGAAGTCCTGTCACGGTTGCCAAATATTAAATATATTCTAATTTCATTCTACCCGGTGACTGAATACGTCGAATGTAGGACGGATATGGATAAGAAATACAGTAAAAGTACTAATTATATTCAAAGACTTCTATATAACTTCTTTTTCAAGTGACATAAAACTGACACATCACTCAAATTTCACAGTCACCCAACTGAATACTGAACATTTTGTTGTAATCTTTATAAATTAACAAATTTCAGAAATGGAGTAGAACCTATAGGTGAAATATATTTTACAATCCTGAAGTTTGAAAATATATAATTCTAGACTTAAACACAAAAATTTTGTATCCAAATCACTCTAACCGATATTATTTTGCTAAATATAATTATTGAATCATACTCAATATTGGTAAGATGATAATTGCCTCGTTAAATCTATCACAGACATGACAGTACAATTGCAGTGTACTAAATCAAAGGTTTATGTGTTTCAACTGAATTGTATTCTCAATAATTTTCTTTGTCTCATTAATGCTAACTTGAATTACTATAAGAATATTTATAAATTAGCAGTTTTCTCTCCCATTTAGTCCTTTCACTTTCTGTTATTTTTTCCAAACTCTGAAGTGACAGTATAATTTCTATGTCTCTTTCAATGGTTTCTCTCATTTTTAAGCTTGAAAATAACGGAAATGTGAAATGAGCTTGTTTCATTCGTTTCACAGCAGATCTATAACATTTCCATGGCTGAGGTTCAACTATGACAATTTCACCAATTCCTGCAATATATTCCAAAAATGATCTTAATCCACCATCTCCATAATTTAAATGAATCCACATTGTAGTAGAAAAACAAAACACTACACTAAATTTTTCAATATGTTTGTTTTTTAGGTATTCGTTAATTATATCGTCTCTTCGGCTTATGTCCATAATGTCTAAACAGTGGAAGGTAATATCATTGGTGCTATTTTCCTTGGCACGAGTTATCAGCAGGGGATCTATGTCAACAGCTAAGATGGAAATATCTTCCATTATGTTTTCTTTGAGGAACTCCTTTATCGCTTCAGTTAAAATCTAAAAGATTTAAATTAATATTGTGATAAATGTAACAAATTGAGAAATAGGTAACTAACTCCCGAATTACAACCAATATCCAGTACCACACAAGGTTTCCCAGCTTTCCAGATATGTTTTGGAAGGAGTTTTATTCTTTCCTTTGGGGAATGAAATTGATAATAATTCATGAAATTTCCAAATTGGACTGCTCCTGGATTCCCTCCTCTGAATTGTAAATCATTTTCCATCTTAACCTAAAAAACTATATAACGTTGAAAGTTTGAGAGCAATGCTAAATAATTACTTTATTTTATTTTGTGGTTTATCTAACAACACCACATGCTCTCAGCACATAATTAATCTCTCTTCTGACTTCTGACCAGTGCTGCTCCAAAGCAAAAATATTTTGTACGGAAATGACAGATGAAAATGTATGCTTTTCGCTATAATTGTATAGCATCAATGGTCGCCAACCCTGTTATCAGAATAATTGACAAGTGACAGCTTCCCGCATGATGCAAAGATGGAATAAATTGATTCGCGCATGCGCAGACACTTCATCGTATGTGAAATGTGAACATTTTGAAGTGGTTATTGCAAATATATTGATTTGATTACTATTTGTCTTAATATTTATTGAAAATTTTGCATTCACAAATCTAGCTTTAGCTTATATTATGTATCAAATCAAATGACAACACAAAGTCTCTTAAGACAAAAATCAAGAGAGGTGAGGTGAACTACCAACTACTATTCATAAATATTTATTCAAAATTCGTCTTTTCTCACTGTGGATTTATTTTTCTTTTAGCGTCAGCGCTTTTCGATAGATTTGACATTTGACTGATCTGAAAATAAAGTGCTTTGTGATCGTGATCTACGAGTTCTATGACAAAGGGACATGCGGAATACGCCTATCATAATCAGACGGAAGACAGAGATAGACAAATTACTCGATTATCGAAGACTAAAGTGATTGGAATTAAGGTCAAAATTTCCGATGCTTGCATAGACTCGCAAAACTAAAACAAAAGTGTTATTCTCAGACAATCTTTGGCCTGGACCTTGATAAACGAGCAATGGAAGTTTGACACAAGGTGTCAAAATTTATTTGAAACGGTAAACTGGTTAACACTTTGGGTAATCAGAATAAATTAATTATGAAATCATAATAAATTGATGGATAAACCAGTTTCCAGGAATCAGTGGAGCTAACGTATGATATTGTCGATAACATAGGCAGAGTCAATTCGAACAATACCAATTTTATGACATACACGCTAGGAGACTCAGTTAACTCTCCATTGCACAAAACGTATTGTTTGTCAACTAGGTAATATTTGGAAATTAGCAAAAGTTGTACAGATTTGTACAAATTGTATAAATTTCGAGAATGATTACAATGTGAAAAATAAGCAGGAGGGAAGTAAATAGTCTCCCCTCGTTACTTTTGAACGGGGCAAAATATCATAGTCGAACAAAATTTTTGTAGAAAGGAATCATTTTCAGTACTTTTTTATACAAAAGCCAATAGAGGGCGTTATTAATTTTTTTTTAAACGTAAAAGGGGGGCCTTGTAACATTTCGTATGAAATGTATTTCAATTCTCAATTCAACAACCACCAACCAACAAACGAACTTTTTCAAATTTGAATTTGGGAATGGGAAAGTCATAATTCCGTCAACCTATATCAGATTTTGTGAAATAAATGTTCATTGGAAAGAGAAATAAATCAGTGGAACCTTTTACAATAGATAATATTTCATTTTAAGCTTGTTATTATTTATTTTATACACAAAAACATCTTTTGAGCAAATATTTCTAATGTTTTTGAACCTCCTGACAGTAAAACAGTCTATTTTCAATTTCATTCCTAACATTTTGGAATGTTTCTTGAGTCGTGTTAGCATATCTTTCGGTAATTCTATCTTTAAGTTATTGCATTGTACCAAATCGCGAACATATATTGTTATAGTCTCAAAGGAAAAAATTGAGAGTGGTCATTTACAGTGATCAAGCAGGCCATTCCAAAGCACCGCGCTAACCAATTCACATGCCTGGATGTGTCTGATCCAACCAATTCCTTGCAGGCCTCAAAAACCGTGTGGCCAACGTCACATTTTCTATTATTCGTGGGTGAATGAGGTTTTAAAGAATTGCCGAATATAAATCACAAGACAGATTCTCCTCTAGATATATGAGACAAACAATATGATTTCCCAATCTTCCTACCCGGACAATTTATTTTCAGAAGTTCGATTGTGTCCTTCTCGAAACATAATATGTAAATATATGCCTGACCTATTGTGCATATTTTGACGGTTTACATTTCCTGTTGACAAGAAAGTGCATTCGTCACTAAAACAAATACTTTTTTATGTTGTTATGATTTACAATCGAACGTTTGGACATTAACTTATAAAACTCTCAGTTTATAGGGGTGAAACTTATATGTCCCTGGGGTATTTTTTACGATAGTTGTTTCGACAACATTTTCACAAGCAACTGTTGTCGTGGACTGCAGGGGGTTATTCATTATAGCAACGAGCACTTACTATATTTTATTATGTTAAACAATTTAAACATTTTGAACGTATCTAATCAATGAACCCACCTTCAATAACATGATTCATTGGAAAGTGACAAACTCAACATCAGATACTACATTTATAAGTAATTATGATGAGAAATGGAATGTGTCTGATAAAAAAAGTTATTCAGATCATCCTCATATTTACTTTGAAATCCGAATCCCCTATACTATGATTATATTCCATCAAAACCACCCGAAAACGAACTGTGAAGACTAGAAATACAGACCTAGAAATTTGTTAGAACTGGATGTGTTTTCTATTAGAGATTCTACACACTTAGACCGATTACTTGAAGCTATTATCTCTATGTACAACGAACATTGTCTCATCGTCAACCAGAGATCAAACAGGAATGTTTCCTGGTGAAATGAAAAATTGGGATCAAAACAAAATAGAGATTCATGGAGAGAAGCAATGCGAGACCTGAATATGCGCCAGACTCTAAGATACTTTCTAAAGAACCTCAGGTCTCAATAAACAATCTTAAAAAAATACCGGGGGGAAATATAAATGTAACACTAGAATTCTGGACAAATTCTGAACTCTAAGCTCCTGAAAGAGAATCAAGGGAGAATTGGCTAGTGACAGAGGAAGTGGCCATAAATTCATTCCAACCTGATAAGTTGCCGAGATCGTATGGCATTCATCCAGCAATGCTGCAGAAATCTGTCCGTTTTTCCGTTAAACAGCTGTCGCCCCTCTACGAACGACAACTCTCAGAAGTCGAAACTTGTGCGAGCTAAGGACTAACGAGGTCTGACTTTTAAACGTGTGATTTCTAACATGGACTGGACGATAGGAAGTGAAAATCGATCGTCAGGCCTTGCGGCTCGAACCACCGGTTCACACAATAGTCAATTGAGTGAGTGAAACAAAGCACCCACGTCAACCCACCAGGCCACCGTTACTTCTACTTAATCGTAGAAGTTACGTGACTTTTATTTAAAAATTGTGTTTAATCTTCAGAGCAAGTTTGGTTCTGGTATATATAATATAAACACCTTCATTCCGAAACCCAGAAAAATCGGACAGGACTCGGCTGAGGCCTTGAGACCAATGAGTCCCATTCCTTTTACATTGAAGCCATTAGAAAAACAACTTGACAGGAATATTATGGACCTAGCGCTGGCTACCAGACCACTGCGTCAAGCAAAGATGCCTTCAGATCAGGTATGACGACACAAACGGTTTTATGCCGGGTCACGAAAAAGCAGAATATGCTTACAAGAAAGAGATTTTGACTGCTTTTTTGAACATAGTCCCTATCGTCAATCATTCAGGCATCTAGGAGAAGGGGGATCGACGGCACAAGCTGCAGATGCTTAGAGGAACACACAACCATCATGGGAGTGACACATCAGTAGTAACACGGGTAGCAAGGGGTTGTCTTCAGGGGGTTTGTCCCCATTTTCATGGAATCTTGTTATGATCCAGTTACTACGGCTTTACCAAGAGGACCAAACAGAGGGTCTAGGACCTCTGAAACATCGAGATGAAGAAATAAATCTGTCGAGGAAAATCAAATATCTGGGAGGGATACTAGATCCCAGATTGATCTGGACCTGGTCCAGAATGTATGTAGGGAAGACATTTTAGTAAAACGTTAGGTTAGAACACATTCCTAACAATATACAGGTTTGAGTGGAAAAACATTTTCCATGATGTATTACAGATAATGAACTTCACCTTTTATTTTAATTGCTAGTTTGAATGTATAAGTTATGTTGAGTTTTTGTTTTGTTTATGAAGTAATGAAGGCGATATTATTATTACCTATACGTCTATCGGTTTCGGTGTTAGTATTCTTATTAACTCCTCAAGTACTCGAAAGTAAAATAGAAATGCTTCTATTAGAGTCGTTTGTGCAATAGCAAACATATGGACGCCTGTTGTGTTCTTTTTGTATTTCTTTCGTGTTTTTCGATTACTCTACATCTCTTGACAACAACGAAAGTGGAGGTGCTTTTTAAACCTTCAATGTCAATAGCCCTATTATAGACTTCATACTCAAAAACTTCAGATGGGTTCTTATTTTCAGAGCAAAATGTGGTCCATTCTCATTATGTTTGAATATTTGCAGTCACTTTAAGATGAAGAACGGAAAGGCATACAATTTGTCGTGTTATTTTAGAATAAAAATTTGACGTGATTCGGAAATTTTTGATGATATCGTTTATTAAGCAATACTTATTACGAATTCATACGACACCATGTCAATAACCTTGTATATATCTTCCTGTGTATATAAGTTATCAGCAACAAATGATGATTACCACCTTATCTGACGAAGTAAAAAAATCACTCGACATATATCTATGTTTATTTACACGACAAAGGGCTAACCTGTTGATAGTATATCGGTGTTTGGAGTTTGAAAAATCATAAATACCACAATATAACAATAGTGACGCATGATGTACCAGTTCTATAGAGGAAATTATGAATAATCAATAGTAAAAAACATTTTGAATAGAAGCTTTCATTTACCAGTTGTTGAATGAATCCGCACAGGCACCGATCTCAGAGTATCTTAATAGTGCTTGTGTTTTGTCCTTAAAAAAATTATAAATTGAACCCATCAACTTATACAGGGTGTCCCTGGACTTCCTCTTTTCCTCTCGGGAATGTAAAGATGGAGTCAAAATATCACCAGTACTTCATATAACTTTTTTTCCTAAAATCCTTCGTTACCAAGTAACGGGCCCTCGAAGTCTTTTAGGAAAAAAAGTTATATGAAGTACTGGTGATATTTTGACCCCATCTATACATTCCCGAGAGGAAAAGAGGAAGTCCAGGGACACCCTGTATAAGGTATATTATGTCTGCCATTTTTTGAATCTCAAAGATGTTGATTATTTTGATGAATATTTCATTTGAATTGAAAAGGGAAGTA